GTTTCGTTTTAAGTAATATTTTATCTATTTAAACGGTAGCGTTTGTAAACTGTATCGGTTAGTGATATATTTAATCTAAATAACGTTGCCGATAACGAAATAATTTTACATTCAGAGCTACTGTGTCATAAGTTCGGTCGGGATCCTAATCCTGTGATAAGGCTTAAGCACGTGGGTCGACTTGATAATAAGGCTTAAGTTACATGGGAACCTCTTGAATCTTGATGTGGTAACCGGAAAGGATTTAATTTTATCTATCTCATACGTTATGCTGATGTATACATTTAGTAAAGTTTGCATGTAAATAGTTCTTAACGTGTTCTTCTCTATCAAATACAAATACCGTATCTTTATATCATACTAAAATTTAATGTATATTGATTTGAACATTAATTAACGATTGTAAGATAAATAAATGGTATCATAACCATATATAGAGTACAGTAATGTTATAAACTCTCAGTGAATTAATAAACATTAATGATTTTGTCGACACTTCCATCGAGCTCGCGTCATGATTTCCAAGTTAATTTTCGCTTCAACACGTCATGTCGTGTTACGATTCGCTGGTCTCAATTTCGCTGACTTTATTAATTAATTAACAAAATTCAATCTTCTCGCTATCGACTTAAGGTTCTATGTCGTTATGATATCAACTTCGATGTCGTGTCACGGCATGTTAATCATAACAATTAATGCAATACGAGTTTGTTTTGATAGGTTGATGCTATAAAAGTTTAGTGCTCGTTCTGTTTATCATGTGTTAATTCGCATACAGGACAGGCGAGTTGTTTGATTGGGATGCTTCATATACATCTGTTATCTATAAACATCGTGCTTAAACACGGCACACAAGATAATATTCAAATCGAACATAAAAATTTGAAGTATGATAATAATTGATATGAAAACATAATTATATCAAAATGTATGACTAGTATTTACTTTATCTTCACTTAAACGGCAAGTTACGTTCCGTTGCGGCTAATTAAGTCGAAAGTATCCCGAACATCTGTTGACGCAAAAAATGTTAAAATATGTTCCCTGTGTCAAAGTAATTCGGCGAGCTTAGAGTGACAATATAGAACAAAAACAGAGATCGATCATTTGTGGTATTTTTAACACAACACGGCTTGAAGCTGTCTATAGATGAGAAATTTAAAATTAATGCGTTTCTATATTACCGGGCTTGTTTATATTTTTAGTATTTTACGTTTTATTATCGTTGAAATTGCTAGTAATATTTGTAATTAATTACGGTTATACTGTGAGTGTTTGAGTTGTAATTCAGGTGGAACTTAATTTCATTGCAGTCATTAATAAAGGAGGCAGGTGATGGAAAGACAGGGACCTTTGTTATAACGTTTAATGTTTTATCCACACCCTTAATGAAATTTTTCTGTAAATGCTTTGGAAATGTACTATCAACTAAGTTTAGTATAAGGTTTTGGTTACGTCATAAGCTATATATATTTTTCTGGTTTAGAATTTTCTTTGGATAAATTTTTGTTAGTATTTTAAATCTTTAATGAATTCTAATATATCCCACATTAATTACTCCAAAAAAGACGTAAGGATCTATTGATTATTTACCAAATTAAAATCAGACAGCAAGACAATTTTTTTAATAAATAAATACATAAACAGAATAATTTTATACAGTGTTCAATTATATTTATAAAATAACTTACCTTATAAAATATTACTTGAAGTAATTTTATTTTGCAATATATATTAACCACAGTGAACCCTAAAATTTGATTCGCTAGTTCCTCCACGGTCGCGGCGATAGGCTTATCGAATCTAGCACTCACGTATAGTAAATCACGTAACAGGATTTGAACCCGACGAATCTTGTTAAATATAAAAAGATCGTATTCCCTCGCTTCCGGAACACTTATTTTCAATGTTTTGTTATACACCTGAGTGCTTTCGATAAATAACTTCACGGATTTCTAACTCGGCCCATCGGATTCCAACAAATTACTGCAAATTGGGGAACTTGGGTATACGTTTTAGGGTTCTCTTGCTATATTCAATACATTTTGCATTTTACCTATCAATATTCTTAGATATTTGTTTGTAATTAAATCAATTCGAATATAATTTACTTACTTATTTATTTTACTTACAAATATTATTGCAGACTCTGTTATAAGCACACAATTATCGTTTATGATAAATCTAAGAAATAATTATGACTTCTCTTGCAAAATATTATGAATTCAATACTGAATTCTTATTACCATATAATTTGTAATCAAACTTCGTTAGCAATTAGCATAACAGAATAAATTATTTTACTTAGCTATAAGTCGAAATTAATTTTCATATTTTAATCCAGCTCGTTTGTAAAAATGTACTTACTGTTATATTTTTCTAGAAGTATGGAATAGTACGACATTCTATAAAATTTAACTGTCTCACGTTCATACTATTAGTGTCTGAAACTTGCCAATTTGGCAGGACTTTGAAAGCTCAGCATGAGAAAATTTGGCAACGAAGAAGTGTCGAATGCAAATACTAGGAATATCTGGACGTCCTAATGTGTTCTACTAGAGAATAACTCGCATTAAAGGAATTCAACACATATTATATGACTATGAGTGGCTGTTAGGAAAATTTAAATTATATTTGTTTGTCGAGGATAGGAGCCAATGAACCTATATAAACAAATAGTTAATTATATTCTGTTCCACGTCTTACAGTATTAACGCGATGTGTTCCTGTATTGACCAATAAAACTGTCTTCATTGCGATGTCTAAATACAATCCTTAACATTCTAGGAGACATCGGAGTTTATTTTTAGCAGGCACCGATTTTATGATTACCATTATCATAGGATGTGGTTGTAAAATGTTAGAAATTTGTTTATTTAGCGGTTTTTACACTGCCTGTTTTTACTTTATAATATCTGGCGTGTAAGCGTTATCTTTTGTTCCCTCATCTAACCCCCTGACTGAGTGCATAACTCCGCACACCTTTATTTACCGTCACCTCTGCATTTTGTTTTTATTTCCTTGCACGCCTCGTCCTTATAATTTCACAATAATGCCTCCTGTATGCCCTAAAATCCGTCTCCGAGGGGAGCTTCCTTTGCGATATATCGACGTCTATTGTGCGTGCTTCCATTTTGTTCATTCTTCATAAACCGCTTTGTACGGTGGTAATGAATGTATTATTCGGAGGTGCGAACCTCTGAATGGCGATCGTTTCCCGCGAGCATTATGTTCAAGCGATGTATGGTGTATTATATTTTATTAATAATCCGTTTTAATGGCGGTATGCTCATAGGTTGTTTGTAATTTGTGTAGCTAAAAAAACGGGCGCCGCCAGGGACAGCGGGTTATCTTTCGTTATTTGTCGTATGAAGTGTTCTTGTCTTTTTGCCGGTACATCAAAGAGGCCGCGGACGGTAGCCGGCTCCTCTGGCAGCCGTTGGAGTTACAGCGGACCTATTTAAGTTATATCCATTGCCTCATCAAAATCTCGTAAATGACACCGTCTCGAGTGGTACTGCCACTTGTTTTAAGTAACTATTAAAATTTTTGGACAGATTACGTTTAAGATTTCCGAGAAGCAATTTATTAAGAATAAGAAACAAATTCTTTGAAACGTGATGATTTTATCGTTAGATCCTGAACCGGTTGCTCTAGAGACGGCAATTTGCTAAGTACTTTAAGGATATCAATTGAATTGCATACGTACGTGGGTATAAAACGTAAAATTTATTCACACTAAGCAATTTTATAGGTGCATAAGCGTGGAATCAATTTGTCGTGGCAGCGTCTCCGGGTCGTGATGGCGCCGGTAGTTTTGCATACAAACTACACCATGTGTCATAATGTAACACCTATAACTATTAAACGCCTAATCGCCTTTATCGTGTACCGAATAAACAAATAACTATTAACTCGGCTTAACTCATAAATTGACCGTTTCATTTGCATAACGAGCCGAGCCCCGTATCCGAATACAAACTTGTTTAGAGAGGGCCACTATAATTATCTATAAATATTACTCTGAAAAGCGGAACGGTTGTTTGAGAAACTGGTTACGTTTTATTTGTTAAAGAAATATTATATGACATGTTAAAGATACACTATCGATACTATACGCCGCTTTTATTAGTGTTTTATTTCATGCTATCGTCCAAACATCTTAAGTATAACCAGAACAATATTTGAATTCGTTGTTTTGTAGTTACGTAGAGATATAATTCGTGGATTTCCGTTATAATGGCAGACTTTCACTGGAGTTAACAGAAATAATGAAGTTTTTTTTTGTATCTCACATCACGTGAAATAAAAAGGCTATTTCATAAAATTTTAATGATGTAACCTGATACGATCATAACGAGGTCTGCTTGATGTTCGTCTTCACGGTAATCTGAGGTCCACATCACTACACGGTACCTAGTTAGAAACGGATCCCAAATCCGCTAATTGCACGGCATTCATGACAAAAAAAACTTTCTTTGTTTATCTAAACGAAACTAAAATAAAGCGAAACAAAGCTATGTAAATATTTATGCGGTTACGAGATAAATTATAAGCGTGGTCCGGGAGCGGGCGGCATTACCATATATTTGTATGTATGTCCTCAAACATGAAATACAACGGTTTTTTCAGTTCCCATGATTTGTGTACAGGTGGCGCGCCGATCGGCGTCCCTGTGCTTTCATCTCACCGCCATAGAACGCGTGCGATTTAATCTTTTGTCAGATATTTTGTGTTATTGATGCTTATTGGTTTAATGTCGGTAATACTTCAATGAATACGGTTTCAACTTACTACGTTTCGAATTCACGTTTCCCTACTTTAGTTTTTTTAATCCCCCAATTGTAGGATAAATCCTGGTCGGTCATTTTACGTGTACAATTGAATTACTTTTTGTCCTATTCGACGCTGTTTAATGTTACAGAAAAGTGAAATTATATATAGGTTTTATGTGCAGAGATAATTCGTGTGTTGCTAAATCATTTCTCATTATCCTCTAGGTTTAACAGCAGAACTATTCTACGTCCGTGATGGCCAAATCAACTTCTACGCGTTAAACTTCGTGGTGCCTGTACCAGCGACTATCAGCGATTTACACTTCACTTGGCAAAGCCTGACCAGACGACCGGTGAGTTTTAAAACCTTTCTGATGTATATCAAAAAAATCTCCAAAAATTTTTTTCTGATACTTCCGTCTAATAGATTTTTTTTTTCGATTATACTTGTATATTAGAATAAAGTGAAAACAACTGTGGAGTATTACTCGCTAGCAAGTAATAGAGACATAATACTAAACCATTAAGTATGACTCAACTATTATTGAATTTATAATACTAAAGCTTGTTTAAATATTATACAACTTCCTAATGACAGCATGTTTCGAACAATGGATTGGTACACGATTGTAATGATTTTGTCACATAAATAACATGCATAATGTTTAACGTTATTAGAAGCAATTGAAAACAGTACCTACCTACGTTTTACTTACCAAAAATTAGGGATGAGAGTAAATGTTTTAAATTTTAAGCAAACCAACAATTTCGTAAATAACATAGAGGGTAGGAGTTGTAATTACGTTAAGGAGGAAAGTTTATTTTTCCGGTTCGCCTGTCAGCCATGTTTGTTCCTACTTGCTAGTTATCCTTATGGAAATGCAACACCTTATTTGAATTTATAGAGCCAGTAAATTAATTCCGATAAGACTATCTTATTCGGCGTCAAACGGACTTTAGATCTTGTTACTATCCTTATTTGTACTAGTGTCGATTATCAAATTAAATAATTGAATAGAACTATAGTTTGTTTATTTCAATTATTTGGGACATATTTACCGTTAGAAATGTATTTAACAATCTCTGTTATATTTAGTTATACAGGGTGACTGGTGAATTACTATCGATATTTGAGGACGTGATATTTGACGATCATATATGACAAAATAAAAATTAATATAACATAAATATTAATAAACTTCTAAGTAAAGTTAACCAAAAGTTATGTAATTAATTACGCATCGTGTGAACACCCTACAGATTAGGTATAAACACACACACACACACGCGTGCGGCGGCGTGGTGTTGTATCACGCCGCCGCACGCGTCCACACTTGGAACACTTGGAACGTGTCCACACTTTATTTATTTATACGGAAATTTGGTCAAAAATTAAGTACCTATTTTTTTTTACATAATTCGAATGAGAATCATGTACCGAGTATTCTCCTTAAATATTGATAGTAATTCACCAGTCACCCTGTATATATATAGTAAGTAAATATGTAAAATCGTACGCTGGTTATGTAAATACAGAGCGAGTCTGGAGTCCTGATACCGACAGCTTATTTGAACTGTATCTATAAACAAATATATCTCCAATATATTGGTAAATGACGAAGGAATGAATATAGTTTTCTTACGATTAAATTCTACGTGAATTTATTTTAAACTAAACATGTATACATATTAAATTCTTACGATAATAATAGCAAGTAAAATAGTGCTCAAAGCAAACTCGTGAGTAAATGATTTACTTGGTACGTATTTTTTAAAGGAAAAAATGATTAAACTGATGTCGTCGCTCGTATAAAGAAAAGCTTACTCTTAAATAAATCCGATATCAAACTTTAATCTTGATAACATGAGATAGCTTTATATTTGGATATCAGATGATTGTATACACTTTGTACTAAGTCGCCGCCTTTGGCTAGGCAGCAAATATTTAGAAAACAGTAAGTTGGTCATGCATTCATTGTCTATAAAGCCGACTGCCGCTTGCCGGCTGTTCAGTGATAATATTTAATTAGAGGGAACTATGTCGCACCTTCGTTCAAGAGACTCCCTCACGGTAAAGGCCCGCGGCAAAAACGTTTGTTTTACGAGCCGCTTGATTAGTGTTATATAATGAGGGTGTGAGTTGTGTTTGTGTTGCTCGTTACAGGCTTCATGATAGATATTTACATATCATTGGCGGAGTTTGTTTTATGTGTGGTCTATTTCCATAATATTGGACGAAACGATTTCTTAAATTGACGTATTGAGAGCGGTCGGATCAAACGCCGGTCACCGACTTTTGATCCGACTGACATCACGCTTAGGGTCTTGCTGGTTTAGGATCGAGTGGCTCACCCAATTGTGGCGATACAGTTATAAAAAGTCGTGATGTGGATGAGTTGGGCGAGCTTTTACTTCTATCTATGGTCAAATTATCCTAACAAATCTGGGTCATCAATACATGTACCTTTATTAACATAACATTTAAGTCTCTTATAACTTTTAAGGTCGTGTTCCAAGTACTTTTATCATAATTTTTGTGACATAAATATTGATTATTCGCTCTTGATAAATAGATAACAGAATTTTCGTATTCTTGTTGCAGTTACCATATACTCTGCACGTGGATGTTGTTGAAAATGCACAAGCATTACACACACCGACATTTAATATATCAAGCGAAGGTTTTGTACCGACTGAACCACAAACATGGCGAGTGGATCTACCCTGTGTTGGCAACATAGCAGCCGAAGTAGACGTCACCATATCATTGAATGTATCTATTGGTTCCTCATCCACTGCTCTTCATTTCCGAAGACGGAAGATATGCCTCAAAGAATCTCCTAAACCGGCTGTGAGAGTGGACAGCGTACCCCACGCTCCTACTTCCGCTGATATATTTTACGCTGGTGCTGGATGTGCTGGTGCCGCTTTGCTGATAGCTGCAGTAGCAGCAGCAGCATGTAAGGCGAGGGCACGGAAACTTCGCAGAGCTCGAAGTGACGAACAGGACGCTCACGCGTTCTTGCCCGACTCATCATGCAAATCTGCCGCTAGTTATACAAGCTACCGAAGACCCACTTCAATACCAGCGACAGCCGCCGAGGAGAGGGCGAGGGATCTACAGCAGAGAATTGCTGAACTCACAATACAGAGATGTCGTGTGAGATTACGTTCCGTGGCTATGGAAGGAACATTCGGCAGGGTCTATAGAGGAACGTACGCTGACGAAGAGGCAAGAGAACAAGAGGTCCTTGTAAAGACTGTCGCTGAACACGCATCGCAAGTACAGGTAAATTTGTGCCTAACTTACATATATATGCAATATTAAGATCTATTTCTAACCAGCGTTGTCTCAACAGATATCACTTTTGCTGCACGAAGGTTGTATGCTGTACGGGCTTCATCATGAACGTGTACTGTCTGTACTCGGTGTGAGTATCGAGGATCAAACCGCTCCATTTCTACTTTACCCCTGGAGTGCTGGTTGGAAGAATCTGAAACAGTTCCTACTCTCGTGTCGTGGAGTGAATATGGGAGTAGCCTCGGGAGGGCCGCCACCTCCACCTTTGACAACACAACACGTCGTCAGAATGGCTTTACATGCTCTGGATGGCTTACTATACTTGCATACTCAACAGGTGCTACATAAAGATATAGCTGCAAGGAATTGCATGTAAGTTTATAATAAATTTAATCTCTAAAACGGAATTTACGTATTATGGTACATTATTATTTGGTCTAGTAGAGTTCTAATTAGTTTGTTTGTTGTCAGAGTGGATGAGAACCTTCGTGTTATGATCGCGGATAACGCGTTGTCGCGGGATCTCTTCCCGGCGGATTACCATTGTTTGGGTGACAATGAGAATAGGCCGATTAAATGGCTGGCTTTGGAAGCGTTGGCCAAGAAACAGTTTAGTCCGTCAGCGGATGTGTGGGCGCTGGGGGTGTTGATGTGGGAGTTGACGACGCTGGCTCATCAACCTTACGCTGAAGTAGACCCGTTTGAAGTCGCCGCCTACTTGAGAGATGGTTACCGGTTGCAGCAACCAGCGAATTGTCCCGATGAATTGTAAGTTTTATTCATTTTAAATCACTAATTTTTTAAGGACATTATTGGCGGATTTACTGAATTTTTTTTGCGAGTTTAGCGGAATAGTAAATTATAATATTATGTTTAGGTTTGCAGTGATGGCGTATTGCTGGGCCATGTCGCCCGACGATCGACCTACTCTCCCTCAACTGCAGATATTCCTTCGGGACTTTCACACACAGCTGACCAGATTCGTCTAACATTCCCGTTATATCCAAAGACGACAATAAATTAGTGAATAGTGTATAGTGTTCCAGACTTCGTCTGACGAAAGAGACTGATATTTAAATGTGTATCGAATTGTAAATTATATAGATGTTTATATAGTGAGTTGTGACATATACCCGTACATACGTACCGCGGGCCGGGATCGAGCGGAGGTTTTACGATCTGCGGTATTTTTGTAACGGATTTAATAAATCTATTTAACGATCGTCTATTTCGGACACAACGGAATATCGCATTTTATACTTCATTCGCTGCTCTATTAACGCACGTATGTATGGGACTGTGTCACTAAAGGTTCGTGTATCTAATTCTAAACCTCATACTGCCATATTAGTTTAAAAGATTATATGTAAATAATGTTATCGTAACTGAATACGTATTGAATGTGCCTCCTTGATGTTAACATTTATATATTACTTTAGAGAACTGTACTGGGTTTTGCAAAGATACTTAACATTCACCAATTCGATTTGAGGGACAGAATCGTTGTCATATGTCAGTGATGTTTCAAAAGTGCGTTGGAAATTTTGGCTCATTTATTTGAAAACTATATAGTAAAGAAATTATAACATATTAACAATAATTTATGCATTTTATTGCACTCCTGTTATAACACCTAAGTATATTAACTCACCACTTACGCACTCTTAAATATCACTGGCAGTATCTTGATTATGTTTTTATATTACCGAAGTTTTGATTTATTGTTCACTTTAAAAATTTATATGAATAAATACTTTTTAAGTTCCATTTTATATGTCGATTGTTGACTGAAAGTTTTTTGTTTAAACCTGCAACTGCCAATTAATCGTTGTGCCAATTATTTAGTACTTTTAAACAGCAATTATCATGTACAAAGCCTTTTTGTAAAACATTTTATATTGTTAACAAAACAAGTCATTGAAGTTAGCTGTGTATACGAAAAGTAAACGTAAAAATTAATGAAAAATTTATGTTAGAAAATATGACTATTTGATTTTCTATAATAAAGTGTTATTGATTCATTCATATGAAGATCATAATTTATTTGAGGCGTTTATTTTAAGTTGTAAATTTGTAAATAGTACAAATGTCAATATACGAGTGAATATATACATAATGAATGGTTTTATTTTAATTATCCCTGAAACATTATTACTATATAGATGAACCATTAGGTATTGAAACGAATACTCATTATACATCGTATTTGAAATATTTTACAATTCAAAAAATAGTATGACAACATTAAAATGTATAATTTTTTACGATTTTTTTTACAAAAAAAAAAATTTTATAAGTCAAACGACTGAGAAATTAAGTAATATCTGAAGAGAAAATTTTTGTAATGAGAAAATATAGATTAAACACTGGAATTAATATTTTATTTTTAAAATAAGACGTTGATAATAATGAAATTTTAATAAATTCAACAATTATACTTGTAGGTAAGTCAATTTTCTCGTGATCATAGGCAAAAAATATTTTACATCATTTACCTGTACCACTTCGCTGCTCAGAATAGCCAAGAAAAGCAGCAAGGACCTGACTTTCAAATGAAAACCTACGATGCGACAAACTGATACATACACATACACACACACGTAAAATTTATAAAACCCGCCCTTTTCCATCGGTGCAGTGGTTCAAAAGAGTTCTACGATGCATTTTTAGAAAAAAGTAGCCTTCATTACATTATAATTTTAATAACTTGTTTAAATTTTTTTGTAACGAACTTTCATCGAAATTTCAGAATGGACTCACTTACCATTTTATTCCGTTCATATGAAACTATAAAAATAAAGTTAACAATATAATTAGAAAATACATTATTAATTATAATCACATGTATGATATTTAATGATTACAATTCCAAATACGTAACTGATTTTTTGTTTCCCGCCTTTATTTTACCGCAATACCACAGACGCTACGCTTAGTGTTGGGACAGAATGAATGAATGTTGTTAAAGTGAATGATTTTACCGCCAAGATTCAACCACCGGTCGGCAAACGCTAAAGATTTGTTGTATCGGAACGAATGAATGAATTAACATTATATAAATATTCAGTGTAATCATTATTAAGAAAAAGTTGTATGACCAATTGTATTCAATGATATTGCAAATTGCGAGTTCAGGTCTGGTAAATTTTAAAAACCATAATTAAAGTTTATAAAAAGTCTAACAGAATAATAATGTTCTATAGCTTAGAAGTATTTAATCGATAACCAATTAACCTCATGTTAAACCTATCTGTGAGTTCGATTTTGAAGTGAAACTTCTTATGTGACTTTCAACAAGATTGCGTTATTGTTTTACTCTGAGTAAGAGAGAAAGAAATATACCCAAATGTAGAAAATAGGAGATAGGCTGGTATTCTTTCTATGCAGCGAAGTAAATAGAGTGAGCTTCCTGAAATTAGCTGTAATTGTTTTTTTATATTAATTTATTTAAATTAATCAAATTAAAAAATATATATTTGATACACATATGTATAATTTATTAGGACAGTATTTTATTTTTAAATTTTGTTGTTAATTTTTTTTACAATTACAAAGTGTCACGTAGGTACTCCTGACACTATTTTATTTTTTTTATTTTATATCAATCTTAATTTTATATATAAATAACGAGAAAAAAAATATGAAACGATAAATTGCCAAAATATACATTCAAAATGGTTAATTCATCAAATTCAGTAAAACAACATAATTGGTGTAACTACTAGGACAGATGTCGAAACTCGCTGGTAACATGATCGTAGAACTGAATATATGACTTTAAAATTACACACAATTATAAAATATACCATATATATATAAAAATCCAAATCAATATTTGAAGGCAGAACACGTATCAAGTCCTCTCCCGCGTTTTGCTAGGACTTAGGTGAGGTGAAGCGAGGATTTAGTTGTGGCTCATATATAGTAGAGTATATAAAATAAAAGAACGTATTTTGAATTTCAATAAAAATCAAACTTTGTCTATTTTATATAACTTACCAGACTATATGAAGGACATAAATCTTGTTTGTTTTAATATGTGTATACTTAGATCTTAGTCCAAGTTGAAATCGTCAAAATAAACGATGAGTTACTAGTTGTTCATTCACAAATATTCGATTATTTTTTTATTAGTGGATTATTGTATGAGAAACGTGTAACGCTTATATGAAACGTGAAGATGCAAACTTCAACTAAGCATATGAACCCGTTGTGCACAACTTGGCATCAAAGTAGTTCTATCCCTAAAGTTACTCATAATGTAACGGCTGTTTTAAGGAATTAGCGCGTATATGAACTCAGTAATAATATTAAACAACAATCTCTCTAACAATTGCATATATAGAAAGCTTTTAAATAAAATCATATTATTTTAGTGTAGCGATTATTTTATAAAGAATTAGGTGTTATTGTATATCAGTATTATTCAGATTTTCATTCTTTATTTATTTAATAAATACCTAGCATATTTTAATAGTTTAATATAAATTAAATTTTTGCATTTTGTGCAACTTTACTTTACTTTGATTATAAATCAGAAAAATATAAGTATATATATATTTTTTAACATGATAAATTCTTTAGCTTCCGTAAAAGCTTTCCATAGCTACAAAAAAAAAAGAAAAAATTAACTCAACTATAGGCCCCGACGAGATTCGAACTCGTGATCTCCTGTTTACTAGACAGGCGCTTTAACCAACTAAGCCACGGCGCCTTCTCTGAGATGGTTGAAATATTAGATAAGTTTCTATAACAGATTGTTATAGATTTTTTCTGTACTAATATTTTAGTAAATAATTAATTATTACGCCATTAATAATAATTAATAATGATTAAAATTCATATAATTTATTTCTTTATTCCAAATAAATTTTTTAGAAATATTATTAGTTATTTTACATACAAAACAATTATGTACATAGTATTAAGTTATAACAATTCTTTGCTTAATGGCTTTTTAGTGAGAAAAGGATTTAATTCTAAATGACTATACACATCAAAGTAAACACGTAGCTTACCATTTTTCACGTTCTATATCCGCATAATGGAGTTTTTGTTTTCCTAATTTATGAATAAAATTCTTGGAGAGTTTCCAATGTTTTCAGATCGAAAATAAAATACCGTGTTATTTATTTAGGTATAGTTGTGTAATGTCTTATTATGAGTTACATTGTATATTATGTTGTTTTAATAGAAATTTATTTTTATTTATTAACAGTACCTACTTAATTCGAACTATTCTTGATGTTCTATAGCTTTATTCTTAGATTTTAAGTGTTTTCATTTCGAGTATCTCTTGAGTATGTTTCAAATAAACAGTTATAAATAGTATCATAATAAGTAATTAATTATTTTGAAATGTTTCATCCACTTACATTTTTAAATGTTGTTATAAATTATTGTAATGCGATTGAAAGTATTAAAAGTGTAAGTAAATACGTTTCTTTCCGTAATTTGCTGCATCGGTTTCTGAGTTTTTAAGCTTAAAATACATATACATATTTATTTTAAACATTTCTTTTTATTTCATACATAATTTTATTCACAAATTCAACAAAGTTGCTGTAGCAGTCGTGGCCGAGCGGTTAAGGCGTCTGACTAGAAATCAGATTCCCTCTGGGAGCGTAGGTTCGAATCCTACCGACTGCGAGGATAATTTTTCTTTTTCATGATATTGAAGCTATATATAACAATAAATTTTAGATACCTTTTTCATATATTTTTATAACAGCCATAACCACGGAGGAAATAAAATGAGTTTTATTGCTTGCGTATCCGTATTTGAGTACAGTTTCAAGGCGATCGTTTTGATATATTCTCGTAAAACGTTACAGACTGCTTAGTTTCGGCATAAAATAAAAGTTGGTTATTAAATACTCATATGAATTGTATTTCTAAGATAATTAAATCGGTTATTTAATATTTATATTATATATATTTACTTTGTGCAATGTTCAAACTGCAATTGTTATTATCGCAATATTTATAT